TTCTTTGGGATTGGGATGTAGACTGATCTTTTCCAACCCTCTGGCCACTGCTGAGTTTTCCAAACTTGACATATTGAGTGTACCACCTTAAGAGCATCATCTTTTAAGATTTTAAACAGTTCCTCTGGAATGCCATCACCTCCACTGGCCTTGTTGTTAGCCATGCTATCTAAGGCCCACTTGACTTCAGGATGTCTGGCTCAAGGTCAGCAAGCACACTATCTGGGTTGTCCAGAACATCCGGATCTTTCTGGTATAATTCTTTGATGCAGCAAGTAATGTTGTAAGTCATTGCAATGTTATTTTTAGGAGAAATTAGTAACAACTGCATTATATGCAAAAAGTAATACTTGTTGTTGTTTAGCTGTTAAGTTGTGTCTGATTCTTCATGACCCCATGGACCAGAGCACACCTCCTGTCTTCCACTGCCTCCCAGAGTTCTCCTGTTTGACCACCTCCAGCTTACCAAGGTTCATAGATCTTACATTCCAGGTTCCTATTTAGTATTTTTCTTTGCAGCATCAGACTTTGCTTTCATTTCCACGCAGACCCGTAGTTGAGTGTCCTTTCAGCTTTGGCCCAACTACTTCATTAGCTCTGGAGCTACTTGTCCTTGTCTTCCACTCTTCCTCAGTAGCATATTGGACGCCTTCTGACCTGAGGGGCTCATCTTCCAGCATCATATCTTTTAGCCTTTTTTTCTGTCCATGGAGTTTTCTTGGCAAAGATTCTGGAGTGGCTTGCCAGTTCCTGCTCCAGGGGGATTGCGTTTAGTCAGACCTCTCCACTATGACCTGCCCATCTTGGGTGTCTGGGCACGGCATAGCCCATAGCTTCTCTTAATTACTCAAGCCCCTTCGCAACGACAAGGCAGCAATCCGTGAAGGGGTGGGTGAAATATTCAAACAGATAATGAGGACTGTCCAATGGTTAATAGCCAAGCAAATTCTTAATTCCACAGCAAAATCAATAAAAAGGTCAGACTAAAATGTCCTAGCAATAAATACAATGCTCTATTTTTTTAAAGGGCAAGGGCAAGACACATATTTAATGTAACATGTAGTTTGGTCCTTCTAAAGAAATATTCATAGGACAGGACTGCATGGTTTTTCAAGGTTTGGTCTGAATGTTTACAAGAATAATTCTCAGAATCCTCAAACACAAATATTATTATGCATCAGGATAATTTTAGTGGCAAGGAGGACCTTTCAGCTCTCAATATTTATGTTGGAGTATTTAGATTACTAAAACAATATATTGAGAATAGAACATGTTATTCCATCATTGTGTAATGGTATTATTTTTTCCACATGTATTTCATTCTCAACTTGCACCTTTTCAAATGCAAGCTGGTAGCTTAAATAGGTAATTATTTCAAATGAAAGCTGGTAGCTTAAATGGGTAATTATTTTTCTTTCAATTGTTAGATGTTTGTGGAAACAAAGCCAAAGGCTACCTTCATGTAGAATATTAGCCTTCTCCCACCACAATCTGCCATTCCACAAGCAAGAGAAAATGGAGTGGGAGTTTTGGCAACAAGACTTTTCTGGCAGTCCATTGTGTGCAATGGGAATGAGGCCCTGTCCCTGCACCATTTTCAGCTCTGGAACAACTTGAATTCATATAGTTTTAATTAATCCCCATAGTTACCAAAGGAATCTTATACCCTGTGCTATTGGCTGGAGAACTATCCAAGAACACATTTTTGCTTCATGGTTTAAAGAAAATCCCCCTGAAACTATGTTATTGAAATAAATGGTACTTATTCCTTGTGTAACAATCCTTTTCACACATTCTGGTCTGTGAATATTTTCCACCAATAAATATAACACAAGTTCATATGAGGGGGAAACATGATATATAGTATTAAATCCGTTGTCTTAGAACTGCTAAAAGCTTACTTTAATATTATGTAGTTTTTTAAAATTACCTAGCCTAATTTATCTCCATGACTATTAGGTACATCATCATTGTAGATACACTGATTAATACAGCATATGAAATCAGCAAAGTATATACATAGCCATGAGCTGATATTATATTTAAAAACTACCAGAAGTTTTCTGAACACCTGTATTAGGGTATGTACACTTTATGCTCAGGATTCTGTGCAGCTGGTATATCTGTCAAATCTCTTATAATTTTCCATCAATAAAATCCTGAGATTTTGTAAAATTAAATTGTTCATACCTTCTGGGCACAAAGAGTGAACAAGCAATTATATTCGGGGTCACATCGTTTGTAGCCATCACCATAAAAACAGATCAGTCTATTATAATATTCTTTTTAATTATATCTATGACAGAATCCCAGAGGTGTAATCCAAAAATCTCCTTTACGAGAAACCTCAAAAGATGATTTCATTCTCATAAAATATAGTGAACAACAGACCAGTAAGTTTGGAAATCTTGAGATCTATAGCTAGCACAGGTTCCAAATAAAAACTAACAATTGGATGTTCATGAAAATGAATTTAGCAGGTACTTATTAATACGTAACACAATCCAGCCACATTTAAACACTTAGAGCCCCTTGATTTCAGGGGGGAAGATTTGACCATGTGCTAGATTCTTCAGTTAAATCAACAGGATTTAATAGTGTTTAACTTTAGCTTGATTACAAAAGTCCTTTAAAAGGCACAGCTGGATACAGAACGTCAGGTATCCACTTTTCTGGCATCCAGATTGTCAGTTTATATTGCATAGCAATGTACAGTGCACAACAAGCAAAATTCAGTAGTGATAAAAGGAGAGGAAAAGTACGTCATGTGAACACAGAGATGACCATTCAAACAAAAAACATTACAGAAAAGCAACCTTTCCTCTTTATGGCGTATGCATCCTTCCAAATGGATAAAGACTAATGAGTTTGATGATTGTTGTGGGTTTTCGGGCTCTTTGGCCATGTTCTGAAGGTTGTTCTTCCTGATGTTTCGCCAGTCTCTGTGGCCGGCATCTTCAGAGGACTGGAGTAGGAACAGCAATCATCAGATCCCAGCCGTGAAAACCTTCGAGAATACACTAATGAGTTTATGCGCAAGAAACCTTAGAAGGCAGGTGGGCAAGCACCTGCACTTACTGCAACACAGTCAAGTGAACTGCTCTTTCAAAAGAAGCATCCCTCTGAGATCTGGTGTGGAGTTGGATGGTGTCAGATGAATGCTTGCTGAGAATAAGTCATTACATGACACAGAGAAGCAAACTCCTCACAGATAGGCAAAAGACATGGCTGTTGTCCTGGTGGAGTGGCTCTTTGGAAGAGCTGGCAATGAGACTCTAGCCAGTGGGTACAACAACATAATAATCTTTGCTACTGTTTGGGAAAGTGTTGTGGAGAAATTGGAAATTCCTTTTTAGTGGCACCGTGAGCCAGAAAGAGCCATGGAGACTTAAAAAATATAACCATTCTTTGTATTTTATTGCTAGAACTTTTTTGGCATCTAATAAGTGCAAGTTTTTCTAGTGACATTGTAGGTGAGGGACAAAAGAATCATTGAATAAATGAGTTGGAAGGAGTTATAAGGCCAATTGGTCCAACCCCCTGCTCAATGCAGGGATCCAAATCAAAACAGATCTGACAGATGATTGTCCAATTTTCTCTTGAATGCCTCCAGCACTGAAGTGCTCACCATCTCCTGAGGTAATTGGTTCCATTGTTGTATTGCTCTAACAGTTAAGGTTTTCCTGAAATTCAGCCTAAATCTGGCTTGCTGTAGCTTGAGCCCATCATTACATATCCTGCAATCTGGGATAACAAATCAAGAACAGCTCTTGCCCCTCCTCTATATGGCTACCTCTGAAAAACAGTACCTTATAAGAAGTAAAAGTTCAAAATAACATTTGTTAGGAGTGAGAAGTCAGAGCAGAAGATTATTTTGTCTAGATACCAAATCAGAAAACATTAGTCTACCATCAATGCACAGAATGACTTGCTGTAAATTACAGCCAAACCTCTACTAATATAGTATCAAATACCTACTGTTCCTTTGTAATTTAACTAATTCTAGTGCATGTAAAATGACAGATCCAAGAAATGATTTTAATCCAGGATTTATTTGGTTAAATAACAGGTATGTTTGCATTTACAGTGGTGCCCCGCTTGATGATGATAATCCGTTCCAGCAAAATCACTGTAGAACGAAATCGTCATCAAGCGAAAGTAAAAAGCCCATTAAAATGCATTAAAAACCGGTTGATGCATTCAAATGGGTGAAATACCTCACTGTCCAGTAAAGATCCTCCACAGGGCGGCCATTTTCTGGTGCCTGTAATGTGAGCAATCAGTTCTGAAAACAGCGGGGAGCCATTGTGCACAGCGGGTAGCCATTTTGAAAACCCGACAATCAGCTGTTTTGGATTGCCGTAACGAAAAATCGGTTCCCGAAGCAGGGAACTGATCGTCATCAAATGAAAAAAACCCCACTGAAACATCATTTAGCAATCGCAAAAAACTAACGGTACAGCGGATTGGTCGTACAACGAGCTAATCGTCAAGCAGGGCACCACTGTATTAATTTTGTGAACACCTTACTTCGGAAACATATATTTTAAAGTCATACATATTTTAAAGTTCTGCCAAAGTAATCTAAGAGAAGGTCTTTATGATGTCGGCAATCTGTCCCATCTGCTCTGCTACCATTAAAATTAACAGGACCCAAAATCTGCTGATCAAAGCTCATCTTTGGAGTCTTCCAGACTATTACTTTGCCCTGCATCATTTCACTCCCTTTTCAAACACTTCTTTCCCTTCTTTCTTTCTTCCCTCCCTCCCTCCTTTCCTCCATTTCCTTCCTTCCTTCAGTTTTGCCCTATTATCACTACCTCATGGGGTGTGTAAAGCAATGTATGAAGTGAGATAAGAAGATCTTAGTAGCGATATCAAGAAAATACCAATTATACTAGTGTGCAATCTGGTTAGAGATGGGACGAAGCGCCGCCTTGGTTCGTGGGTCATCATGTGTGATGACCCATGAACCACAAATTGCCCCCCAGTGACCTGACAAACAACAAATCAATTAGTCATTCGTCAGTTTTTTTCTTTCCCTCTTCTTGCTATGCCCCATGGGGCTTAGCAAGAAGAGAGAAAGCAGGGACCAAAGCAATCACACAGTGCTTTGATCCCCTTTCCCTTCCACTTGCTAACACCTGTGGAGCTTAACAAGAAGAGGGAAAGCAGAGATCAATGCGATCGCTCAGGCGAACCCTTTGATACCTCTTTGATCCCTCCTCTTCCCTTCTCTTGTTATGCCGCGTGGACATAGGAAGAGGAGGAAAGGGGAACCAAGCCATCCCCCCAGCTGCCCAAAGAGAAAACCCCTCTCTGCGTATGCCCCCAAGGAACAGCTGATCTTTGGGGGCATAAACAGAAAGGGAACAAAGGGACAAATGTAAAAGGGTTATAGTTGTTGCTTTATATTTGTTGGGGTCTCTGGACCCCAAGAATATGATGCAATGAATGTTTTACGAATCAGGAATATTTAACCAATATCCTGATTTGTTTTTATATTAGTCTCCATGTCTAAATTTAGTATTTAAAGGAGATCAAATGCTCCTTCTGGAATAGCCTTCAGGAATCCAAGCCATTAATATGTAAGTGCAGCTATTTGTAGTACATAGCAAATGCATGGTGTTAAACTCATGTTTCTAATAACATGGATATAGACATGTGGACACCCATTTTCACAAGTTTATGTCATCTTTTTGTGTGTGTGAAGGAAGCACCATTTTACTTATAGCAATTACATCTGTAGTGTAATATATTCGCAACAGGGAATAATTTTGTGAGTGCAGTCTGTTCCTTAGATAAACCTCAATACTGATGCACCAGATACAACAAAGCTAGCATCTTGTAGAAAGTTGTTTCTTTGGGATTTTTTTGGTCTATATTTTTAAGACAAACTATCTGAGAAACATTGTGCTGCCCTCAGGTGACTGCGGATAGCATTGCACTCATGTACTAAAATACACATTTAGCTGCCTTGACCTTATTTTAAAATAGATAAATGTCAAGAGTCCAGCTCATTGATATCTCTTTAATTAATACAATAATAGTTTATGCATATATATTTGACTCAATATTTCTGAAATTCATATTACCCATTTTTCCAACTAACCGATTATTCCACTGAAGGAAATTATTAATATTCATACTCACTCTTGTGGGAAAGATCTGAATGTTGTTTCCTGCTACATCCAGAACTTTAAGCCGTTTCAGTTTACAAAGTCCCTAGTTAAAAGTGATAAAAATAGTTAAAAAGTTTTTTAAAAAGTAGATTAATGACGTGCACCAAGGTGACCAAAGCTATCTCCATCCCATAACTAGGCCTAATGGCAAATTGAAATAGATCTAGAGCAGCAGTTCCCAACCTTGGTTCCCCAGGTGTTTATGGACTAAAACTCCCCAAAGTTTTCACCACCAGCTGTGCTGGCCAGGATTTCTGAGAACATCTGGAGCCCCAATGTTGGAAACCACTGATCTAGACAATCCATCTCATCCAGGAACCCCTAGGGAGCACTGAACATCTCACATACTTTGAAAACCATATTAGGTTCACCATAATGCAGACACAACTTAAGGACACAAAACTATGTGACATTCTGTTTTTAATACAAAAATAGAGTAGTTTACCTCCTTTTTATATAGTCTAATTTCAGATCCCCAGATGTTAAAGAATCAATCAGAAATTAAGATACAGAGACAAACTGTAAAACAGAGCTGCTTGAGACACATTTAGAGTTTGAGGGTGCTCCATACAGAGGGCCTTTATTGCTAACATTCAGCAGCCTTTCTGTATTTTCTTCCTTAAAATATTTTTCTGGTTAAAAAGGGGGGGGGAGATAGAAGGGCGCATGAGAAAATATGGGAAGGGTTCAAATGGAAGGCAATGATAGCTAAAACTTTCATAATGTTCTGTGGATGCCCAGCACAATTGCACAGAAAACACCTCATCTGAAAGCAACCTGACTCCACTTTCTTATGCTATATTACTCATGCAAACAAACTGCTCACATAAGGAAGCAGCACTTAGTATTTTATAAAAGATTACTTTTATTATTTGTTAGTGCCTATATAGCCCATTAATATCTTTATCGCCAATGTGCAAAAGATGTGATTACTGAATCATTTTTTAAAAATATATCCTGTTAGGGATAACATATGACAACTCAATTGTCTCAAGATATATTTTTCCAAAGTACATTAAATCCACTCACATCAGGGAGCTCTTCTATTTTATTTCTTGACAAAATCAGGATCTTGAGTTTTGTCAGGTATTTTATTTCTTCGGGGAGTGCTAAGATGGAATTGTGGGACAAGCGGAGTTCACACAGCTTTTGGAGAAAGCAGAGTTCTTTGGGAATATTTTTCAATTTGTTGTTGTCCAAACTCACACATTCAAGATTTTCAAGTCTATGAAAGGAATAAAGCATTCACTATAATGGCCTCTAAGTCTTTTTCACTTTATTATGTTTTTGTGTATTTATCAAATATTTGTGAATAATCGCCTAGACTGTATCCAAATATATTCATTCGATAGTTTTTATCTGGGTGTTTTTATTGCAAGACGGAGGCAACCCTGTAATTTAAGACTGCTAAGAACAATTAAAAGGCTGATGGGCTATGAAGTCAATTTATATCATACACAAAGCAGGGCTGATTTTTCTCTTTGGACTCCTTCTTCCCTGAAAGGTAGGGGCCTAAACTAAGTAAGGGGTGAAAAGTCCTCAATCTTTGTGTACAAACAGCTGTAAGATTGAGGCCTCTGTGTGAACCAATTTTGCATCCCTGTACATGAACATAGTTTGATAATTATTCTACAGTTGAATATTGATTTGAGCAAAAAAACAAAAAAAAGCAGCATCTGGCATAGCTGATGAGCCTCAGGCAAAACCTAGGTACACTAGACAGCTAAAGAGTTGAGTTCTATTTTTCTGTAGCTTACAGACTGAAATGTTTGAGGTCTAGAATAAGACCAAAAACTGAAGTCTTTCGGGTCCATTATATGGACAGGATCCTCCATAAAGTCCTCTTTTGATGTCTCATCATGGCCTTGAGGCAAACCTTGGCTTTTTAAGGCTATGCCAGTACAACCTCCAGCATATTTCAACCAACCAACAAAGCTTCAAATATGGTCATGATAAAACAACTGCTCTAGCAAACTATAGTGAGGTACTGTATGTCATCAGAAAATTGGCCATTTGCTGAAGAACTGGCCACAGTTATAAATACTCATATAAATGAAAATTATGCATCTTCAAAGTATATGGACAGGATACCAATTTACAGTGTTTCTGTCAGGATTTGTTCCAAAGATGTGAACAAAGGGTTAAATTTAATATTGTAGAGGGAACGAAAAATGGATGACAAATGTAAAGTCATGCCTGTAAAAGACAAAGTGAAATGGTTGACTAATGAGATGCAGCAGGAACAAGCGTGGGTAGTGCTTGTTAACCATGTTCAGCTGCATGGTCTATACTGTGATAACCTGCTCTCACTATATAAGCAGAGGAATGAGAACAGCACTTTGCCACTCAGTTGTGAGTCTGGTGGTTTTTCTTCTTTGAATGTCTGTGTTGCCATGTATTGTCCTTTATCATGTCCATCTTTGCACAAAATATATGAACATTTTGTGCAAAGAGGGACGTGATAAAGGAAAAAAATGGTAGGGACCTTACAGACATCAAGAAGAGGTGGCAGGAATACACAGAGGAATTATACCAGGAAGATCTAGATGTCCCAGACAACCCATAGAGTGTGGTTTCTGACCTTGAGCCAGGCATCCTAGAGAGTGAAGTCAAGTGGGCCTTGGAAACCATGGCTAACAACAAGGCCAGTGGAGGTGATGTCATTCTAGTTGAACTATTTAGAATCTTAAAAGATGATGCTGTTAAGGTGCTACACTCAGTATGCCAGCAAGTTTGGAAAACTCAGCAGTGGCCAGAGGATTGGAAGAGATCAGTCTACATCCCAATCCCAAAGAAGGGCAGTGCCAAAGAATGCTCCAACGTACAATTGCACTCATTTCCCACGCTAGCGAGGTTATGGTCAAAATCCTCCAAAGTAGGCTTCAGCAGTATGTGGACTGAGAACTCCCAGAAGTAGAAGCTGGACAGTGTCACTGAAGCTACTCTTCTTGTCTTTATTCTGCTTATTAAAAGGGAGGATTTGAAGCTGCCTGATAAGAGACTCTGTTTAACTTGTTATCTTGGGCTCCAAGGTTTTTTTTTTCACTAACTCTTGTAGCTTCAATATCCAAACACTGACTCCAAGCTTCTAGAGAGGCAAACACCATATCTGTTGTTGGAGTTGGCACCCAGCCAACAGTTTCAGAATTAACTGACAGTTGTAAAAGAAATGGCTAGCATGCAGTCTTTCTCTAGATAAATATGAACAAATACTGTATTTTGCACCAAACAAAATGACTTATGGAAACCTATTTATACCATTTAGCCAACTCAGATGAAACTTCAACCTACAGTAACCAAAATTACCTATGAATCTCAGGAGGAAGATGACTGAGCTGATTGTTGTTCAGATTGAGGAGAACTAAATTCTGCAAGCCATCTATAAAAAAAGAGAGGTACATATATGATATATTAGAGAATATTTAAAGAATAAAACTACACTTCAAATGAGTCTGTCTTGTTTCTAAAGGAGATGATTATTCACTTGAAACATGTATTTCATATACAGTACTGTATTTATTAACGTAATTAATGAAACCGAAATATTCAAATGTATTTCAACATCCATCTTTCTTAGTTGCTCTGAATAAGATATTTTATCTCTTTCTATAGACTTCATCATTTTTGCAATGTTATTTCATGCATCACTGTGTTTCATAAGGCCATGTCCTTATAAGCAATTTAATAGTTAAAGGTAAAGCGTAATTAATGAAACCGAAATATTCAAATGTATTTCAACATCCATCTTTCTTAGTTGCTCTGAATAAGATATTTTATCTCTTTCTATAGACTTCATCATTTTTGCAATGTTATTTCATGCATCACTGTGTTTCATAAGGCCATGTCCTTATAAACAATTTAATAGTTAAAGGTAAAGCTTCCCCTTGACAATTTGTCCAGTCGTGTCTGACTCTATGTGGCAGTGCTCATCTCTGTTTCCAACCCATACGGCTAGTGTTTGTCCACAGACAATTCTCCGTGGTCACGTGGCCAGCGTGACTAGACATGGAACGGTGTTTACCTTCACACCGAGGTGGTACCTATTTATCTACTCACATTTTTGCATTTTGCATGCTTTCAAACTGCTAGGTTGGCAGGAGCTGGGACAAGCGACGGGGGCTCCCTCCGTCGTGTGGATTCGATCTTACAACTGCAGGTCTTCTGACCTTGCAGCACTGAGGCTTCAGCAGTTTAACCCACAGCGCCACCACATCCCCTAATTTAATAGTTTAATAGTTATACTCGTTTAAAATGTCCAGAATATATAATGTAGATATTAATTCAACTATATATGTAAATATTGAATTAATTTCAAATAAGAGTCAAAAAGAAGCTCACAATGAGCTCCAAGACCAAGGTGAACCCAGTACTGATTGATAATATTCCCTTCCTATGCAAGGCTGTTTGGATGAAAGAACATCTCATGTTGTTTAAAAAAAAAAAAGAACATCTCATGTTGTCAAACATTCTCTCTATAGATACATGTGGAAATAATGCCACCTAGAAAAAAGGAGCATAGAGAAAAAGCTTGGATTTCATTATAGGGAGTCATAGGTTGCTGAACAACCTGGCCGTGATATAGGCATTGGCCAGAAACATAAGAAATCCTTAGATTTTTGTCAAAAAGTACAGATATGCATAGTTCTTAGAACAAAGAGCGTGGTTACACTTTGAAAATGAATCAGGAATTGGATCAGAGTTTTTGAAACTGGGTTAAAGTCATGTGGTAGTCACATGATACAGTATTTGGGTGTGCGTCCTCTTGGGGAAAACTTTAATCCATTTTTAAGCTTTGTTGTATATCAGTTGAGGGGAAAATATGGGCTTTAAAAATAATGCCAATTCAGTCTTTGACCTGCACCTACCCGCCCTTGCACTGGCCAATTGGAACTGCTGCTTTGGTGAGGGAGAGGGAGAGGGAGTATCTGCTGGCAAAGCTGCTTGTCCCTTTGGAAAGCTTGGCTGCTTCTGTTTCTTTAAGAATGCTCCAGCTATTCCCTGGGAGGCAGAGAGAAGCAGCATTTAGGAAAAGAGGCACACAGAGAAAGAAAGAGCTGCTAGGGACAGGAAGGAGAAAGAAGCCAGTGCATGGCTCCTGAAAACATTCTGGCCCTTTTCAACTCCAAAGAACATCAACCCAGGATGGATTGTGAATGGAGGCAAGGAAGGAACTTTGGGAGACTTGATCCCAAACCACTTTCAGATCATAGGTCCCATCTATACTCACAGACTACACCACATAAATTATGGGTCTCTGAGTGCATGGCTTTTCACTGGTGCAAAAACTCTGATCCAAGGCATGGATCCTCATGGACCCACATGAGTTCAACAAGCGATCTGCCCCAAACCACTGTCGAGTCATAGGTCCCATTTGTACACACACTACACCACAGAAATCATAGGCCCTTCCTTTCATGGCTTTCCAGTGGTGCAAAAACATTGATCCAAGGCACAGATCCTCACAGAGCTTTATGTAGGATCATCTTCAAACCACTGACTAACCTGTGGGCAGAGATGGCGCCTGTGAATGGATGTTTGGGGATGATCATGTGGATCCATGAAGATCTGTGCCTGAGATCCATGATTTTTCTCCCCCTGCAAAGACAGCTCTTCAATCTTCACTTAGGCTATACTTCTCACCCATCTCTTGTCTCCGACCCTGTACCTCATGCTCTCCCGTTTGCCTCCCTCATACTGTGCTGAATTGCCCGGTGTTCTCATACCCCAAAAGAATTCACAGATGAGTTAAATTAAATGATCCACTTGCTGTTGAATAAAATACCCCATTTTCCAACCAAAAAACAAAACAAAAAACCACTCACTTCCTGGGGGGAAAATCTGAGCTTCTGTGTGTGCCATGTAGTCACTTTTCAAATACAGTTTTTTTTCTTAATGTGACTATGCTCTAAGTTAAATCACCTAATCCATTACATAAACCAATAAAATATTATTTAACTATAATCTGAGAGACTAAAAAGTACCCTTGATTGGTCAGAGATAATATCTAACATTTTATTTTTGAATTCATATTAAATTCATAGAAGGCAATCACCATCTTATTCTCTGACATTAGGAAATGGCATATATCATAAAAATCAAGCATACTGTTCCATTCAAATGTATTTTTTAATGATATGACTAATTTTTTGAGTGAGACTGACATCCCATGCACATTTACTTGGTTATAATCTTAGAGAATGCAGTGGGGCTTGGTTTTTCAGTAAATAAGTACAGATTGAATCTACAAATATTTGTTTTAAGTGCAATATTTTATACTAAGTAGGATGTTATATGACCTTACCAAAAATTAATGGTGATATTCTGGTGATCTTATTTCCAAACAAATGAAGCTTCTGCAGAGATACCAGGTATTTCAGCTGCTCTGGAACTTCCTCGAAGTCATTATTTCCCAAATTTAGAACCTTTAGCTATAATAAGATATTTGATTAAACAATCATGCATCATTTCTGCTGTAACAATTGAAAACATCTTTAGATATTATATGTCCTAGGTATTATGTCCTATTTAAACATGCAAGACCACGAAACACTGTTTTAAAATTGAAAATATATTCCATGCTGGTGGAACAAAAAATGACATGCAGGATTTAAAACATCGTCTTCATAAAGTTATGCATACAGTATTAGATTATTGCTGCTGCTTAAAGTCTTGCCCTTCTTCAGTTTTCGGATGGGTTATACGAGACAAACCTGTTTTAATGGACTATAGCAGTAGCTCCCAAACATGATCTACCTTATTTACTTGGGCCGACTCCCACAAGCCCTAGCTCAGGGGTCTCAAACATGCGGCCCAGGGGCCATTTGCGGCCCACCAGATGATAGTTTGTGGCCCCCAACTTGCCTGCCCCCTGAAGTGCCCACACATCCTCTGCTGTCAAGAGTCAAAAAAAGCTTCACCTCACTTGCCAGCTGTCCCAAGACAGTGCCTCTGTCGCAGAAGTGCCCACACATCCTCTGCTGTCAAGAGTCAAAAAAAGCTTCACCTCACTCGCCAGCTGTCCCAAGACAGCGCCTCTGTCGGCTGCAGTTCCAGATGGAGGGTGCAAGAGGTGCTGTCTTGGGGAAGAGCTGGTGAGTGAGGTGCGCTGCCAGCCCTTTCCCCCAAGCACCCGAGCCACTGCCGAGCGATGCCTGAGAGCGGAGCTTGTCCTCAAAGAGCGCCTCCAAGCTGCCAACAGTAGCTGCTGCCGCCGCCTCTTCCAGGGAAGTGGCTCTCTGGCTCTGTTTCTCTCTTGGCACCCCCAGCACCAGTCCGGCCAGCAGCCGCCTCAGCGCCCAGCGGTGCTTCTTCCTCCTCTTCCTTTTCCTGCTTCAGCTGCCTCGGCTCTTGAGGCTGCCTGGGTTCGCCTCGCAAAGTTTACTCCTCTGTCGTGGTGGGGGTAGCTGCTGCTGCTGAGTGCGCCTTTTTTGAGGGGGGCCCTTAGAGGAAGGTTGCCGGACCTCTGTGTGTGTATGTGTGTGTGCATGCGTGCGTGCACCTGTGGGGGGCCCACCCCGTTCTGTTTAATTTTGCGGGCACCGGTGTGGGCTTTTCTCCTTTGGCAAGGCAATTCTGTGAGGGTTTTTTTAAAAAAATTGGGCCGTGCCCTCCTCCCCCCTGCTAGGCAGTCGCCGGCGCTCCCTCCCTTCTCCGCTTCTTCATCCTGCTGCTGCTGCTGCTGGTGGTAATGCAGAAGGAGCTGGAGGGGGTCGTGGCTGGCGACGAGGGCTCGTGCACCCCTCCCCCTCCCCCCATTCTGTTTCATTTTGCAGGTCCCGATGGGGGCTTTTCTCCTTTGGCAAGGCGATTCTGTGAGTTTTTTTTTTTTTTTAAATCTGATGCGGCCCAGCTTCACCCAGACTCTGCCTCCAGCGGCCCTGAGGTAAATTGAGTTTGAGACCCCTGCCCAAGCTAATAAAGCCAATTGTCAATGTTTCTGGCAATTGTAATCCAAGAACACAGCACCCCCCATCTGGAAACCTCTGCATTAGAGAAAATCAAGAAAAGGATTAGTGCACCCTGTCAAATATTCATCAATTTGAGGTTTGGCTGCTGCATTGGGATTTAGGATATAAATTGAAATCCAACTACAGAATAGGATTTTCCATACTGTGAAATTTTCTTGGAAACGTTGGGTTTATCAGTTTCATTTAGGATATGGCTGAGCATACTTAACATTATGAACATGTTTTCTATCAGGTCACACGGAGCCCTGAGGTACAGAATGCAGTTTTGCTATTTTCTCTGCAAGCAGTTTTCTGGCATCCGCCTCCTTTCTGCCTATGATAAGCTTCAGTGGAGAGCTGGTACAACTAGATTGCCTTTTGGCCTTTCTAACGGCCTACTTTTGGTGTATCCAGAGCTTGTGTAACCTTTATGGACTATTTAGTTCATCCCAGTGGGTGGGAAATCTTAAAAAGGGACTGTGATTCTAAATTTAGCTGAGAAAGAGAGAGGTAGCTAGGAAGACATGCTGATCCCCGAAGGATAATTTTGTTGTTGTTTGGTTGTCAAGTTGTGTTCGACTCTTCGTGACCCCATGGACCAGAGCATGCCAGGCCCTCCTATCTTCCACTGCCTCACGGAGTTTGGTCAAATTCATGTTGGTAGCTTCAATGACACTGTCCATCCATCTTGTCCTCTGTTGTCCCCTTCTCTTCTTGCCTTCACATTTTCCCAACATCAGGGTCTTTTCCAGGGAGTCTTCTTTTCTTATGAAATGACCCACTCCAGTATCTTTGCCAAGAAAACTCCATGGACAGAAACAAAAGGCTGAACAGTTTAAGGGACTTAAAGAATATCTACCTGGAGCTTTTTCTTTAGGCTGTGGTTCTTCTGTCTTGGGCGATAAGGATATCTGAGACTTTGTTTCTGGCAAATTTTGCTTTAAAGACATATTTGCACTACTTCAGTTTTTCCTGCAAGCAACTTCCGCTTTAGCAGTGTTGGAGAATAGTTAACTTGTAGCATCCAGTTATCTAGGTTATTTTCTTCTAGGTTGACCATTGTTCTCCCTGAGCACATGGTCAGAGGGGATGGGGTTTTGGCTTTAAATGCCTGCGAGCAGAAGCTCTAAGCCAGTGGTTCTTAACCTTTGTTACTCGGATTTCTCACTCTCCAGTCCACCTCCTTTCCCTTGAAACAAGAGGCCCATGTTTTGCTCCTTTTGGTTCCCTTCTGCACCAATATCAGCTCGCTGTGAGTTGTGTTTGTGAGGACATTTTATTTGGTGAGGTATTTTCTTCTAGGCTGACGTTTGTTCTCCCTGACCACATGGTCCGAGGAGGTGGGTTTCTGGCTTTAAATGTGGGCTGACAGAAGCTCTAATTCTCTGATTCTATTTTTTACTCTAATATGGTAAATAGGAAAGCCAAATAGCATTGCATACACCTGGGGGGCAGGAAAATTTTAAGGGTAGGATCAGACTTCCTCCCTTTTTAAATTCACTGACCAATCAGTTGAGATGGAGAGTGCAGGATCTGTTGCATTTGTAACACCTGTGGCCTATCTGTTTTTTGCCAATGAGGTGCCTGGGTAGAAATGCTCTAAGTGTCAGCTGGTGGTCCTCTTGGAAGACAAGGTCCAGCAGCTGGAGGCCTGTGTTCTAATCTCTGCACTATCAGGGAAGAGGCTGGATAGGTGGGGCTCATCAGCCTTGGAAGGCAGCACATCTAGGAGAAGGAAAACTCCAATTTCAAACCTCCACTGCCTTGTGGCTATATCCACGGATGGAAAAGGCTTCAGGAGTTAACCTTGAGGCAAAATCAGGAGCCAGAGTCCCAAAGGCAGTTCATGTCATTCTGGCAACTCCTGCGATGTCTCCTGGGCAGTTGAACTAGCCTTTTCCACCAAATCCAAATCTATTCAGGGTCTGCTACAACAATCTCTTTCATGAGATATCTTCCTTACATACTACTCCTCATATGTGTTTCAGTTCAGTGCCAGGGCTGTTGCATCATCTGCTGATGCCAGTAGAAACATCTGCCTGACTGCATGGCTCATACTGGTGGAGAAGCCATTTGTGGTGACCAGGAATTGGATTATATTGTAATAGAGGCCCAGTACAAGAAAAAAGACATGATACAAGGAAATATATTTCTAGCCATGTCTGCTGAGTTGTTCTGTCTATCAGAACTAATCACCATTACTAAAGCTTCCAAGGAATCCAAAATGCAGAATCTTGTGCTTCCTTTTCATCTGTATAATATAAGGGTGTGGCTACATGGCGATTTATCCTGATTTGTTCCAATGTTTGCATGGTTAAGTATGATACATTTTCTGGCAACTACATGCTTACTGCTAATCACTAATCAACCCAGCCTTTTTCCATTGCTATTCGGACCTTTTTGGGTCACTGGCAAGAGTTACTGTTTTTGGGGGGAATGATTGGGATTTCATTGTGATCCCCAATCTGGTTCAAAACCAAGAGTTATGGGTGTGTCCTAGAATGATGTTGATGTTGACATATTCAGTAGTGTATGTCATGGCAGTGTACAATTCTGCCCTTGAGATGGACAATTCCTTGGTTTATTCACAAAGGCTTTCACGGCCGGGATCTAATGGTTGCTGTGGGTTTTTCGGGCTATTCCAGTCCTCTGAAAATGCCGGCCACAGAAACTGGCGAAACGTTAGGAAGAACAACCTTCAGAACACGGCCAAAGAGCCCGAAAAACCCACAGCAACCATTAGTTCCTTGGTTCCTTCTCTGCCTCTTATAAGGGAGGGGCAGAGTAACCAGAAGGGTATGTGTGTGGGTACAGATGCGTATGTATGTGTTTGTGTGTTTGTGGCTGGCCCCAGACCAGCTCTTTTGAGAAAGAGAGATATTAGCAGAGAAAGGAAAGCATGGGTGGCATCATGGGGCTTTCCCTGAGAAGAAGTCCCTATCTCACATTGGCAAATGAGTATAAAAGTCTTTTCTTGACAGACTTCTCCTACACTGAGGCCTGCACATTGGGTGCCTCTGAAGCAGGGTAGTACCTGCTTACCTTTTGCTATGTTGCTTCTAGTATTTAGTATTTGATGGAAACAGAGAAAGTCAGAGAGCACAGACCATAAAGTACTGTATAGTCACAGGATTATTTTTCCTCCACTCACTCACTCTTTGATTTTTAGTGTTTCAAAATCAGAAGCTCACAGGGAGAAAAAAAATCAGCCATTCGTAGATGGCTCTAAGCCATTCGCTTTGAGCCATCTGCCTGGCAATGTGGTTAAAAAATAGGTAACCCATGTTTCACTTGCATTCCTCTTTCTCACAAATAATTAAGCCACAGGAAGAAAAGTCAACAGTATTCTTCCTTCAGCCTTTTAACTTGCACCTCAAGGTAAGCTGGAGGGAGAAATCAGTGCAACTAAAACATGCCAGGCTATGAACAAATTCCTTATGAACCTGCTTTGTTATAAATATCTTCAAGACAGGACCTCTTGAGAACTCCAGTGGCTGTGGAGTCCCTCTGGACAGGCATGCAGGCTTTCCCTTGCACAGCTCCACAGCTTGGAATCAACTCCCATCAGAGTTTGATCTGCTTCCACTTCTGCTGCTTTTAAAGAGAGTATAAAAACCCATCTTTTAAAATTGGCTTATTGCTTCATTTATTGCAGTGATTTTGACTGTGCTTTTAATTGATTTCAATAGTTTTTTAATGGCTGTGCTTGGTTTTACAGTATCTGATTGTAATGATTCTGCAGTTATATTTATTTTTAAATCTTGTTTGTATTGTTTAATAATGATTATAAGTCACGTTGAGTGCTACCTAGTAGTGGAACGGTGAGGTAGAAATGTAAAGAAGATGAAGACCCAAAAAGAAGGAGGAGGAGGAGGAGGAGGAGGAGGAGGAGGAAGAAGAAGAAGAAGAAGAAGAAGAAGAAGAAGAAGAAGAAGAAGAAGAAGAAGAAGAAGAAGAAGATGATGATGATGATGATGATGATGATGATGATGATGATGATGATGATTTAACCAAATATAGACAGCTGGCAATAGAAAAAACTGGCTTGTGGATGAAACCCATTTCAGTGGTCCCCATGGTAATCAGAGCATTGGGAACAATGTCACAGAATTTTATAAAATATTATAACCAGTTGCAGATCTCTGAAATAATATTATTAGAGCTGTAAAAAAACAGCAATTTTAGGAACAGCATATATATTAAACAAATATTTAACTGATACGTTTTTGGTTAAAACTTGTATTTATTATGTAATACCAGTCAAAGGCTGTGTTTTGAATTTTTGAATAATAATAACAATAGTATACCATTCCCTTTTCTTATTAAAAATGGGACTAGAGACACATTTTGAGCTGTGAATCTGCTAAGTTCTTTATTTTGCTACTAACAGTTACTTGTTATCAAGTCAAACTCTTCCTAAGGTTTCCTAGGTATACTCAGAAGCAGCTTATCACTCCTTTCTTCTGGGAGCATGTAGCTTGTCTAAGACCACACAGGCTAGCTGTTCTCCTACAAGGCAAGTTGGGAATTGAACCCTGGGCTCTGCAGCCAGGTCTTCTAACTCACTGGCTGAAATCCTGTTGCTTAGCTTAGTAAGTTACTAGACTAGGCCCAATGATTCAATGTTGATTTTGTGAGTCAACACAGCAAGAGACAGCTAGAGAAGGTTGCTTTGGATCATTGGAACTTACAGAGGAGTTGCCTCACCAAATACTCACTGGTCTAGTAGGCCAACTGTAGCTGTGACATACTACTGGAGAAACAGGATTGTGGCCATTGAGCCACAGTAGGACCTAAACCCTGTTCAAAATTGGTTTTGAAACTCTTCTCATATTGCAATAATGCAACTATCTTTTTTCTTTCCAAAACATACATTAGGAAAGAGAAGCTTCTACATATAAATCCATTATATGTCACAGAAGAAATCATGATACATTCCAGGAAAAGAGGCTGGCAGAGTGCTACTCAGTATAATTATGTATTGTGGTATAGCCAGCACTTTCAATAACATTGCTTTCAGCATGATGTATAAATATTTTACAATTGTGGAAAAATAAACACTTCTTCGCTACAGGCATGGGGCTTTGTGAAAGTATTTTGAAGTAATTTGAGCTTGACCAGAACATTTTTAAAATGATGTTTTTAAAAGTACATATTAGTCCCAGGTTGACTTATAGTGCTGCCAAGTTTTAGTGCATCATAAAAAGTTCCATAACCGCTTTCATGACCCATTTAAAATAAAGGCTTAGACTGAAAGGTATACAGAACTATTCACTCCTACTCTTAATCCAGTTGTTGATAATCATTCAGCACAAGCCTTTATGTGTCTACTCAAAAGTAAGCTCATTTGAGTTCATTGGCCTTTATTCTAAAGTAAACAGGTATAGGAATTCAGCCTATGCCTTCTAACCGACCCAGTAGCCACCTACAAAATAGCGTAATGTGAGGAGAGCCCAAAACTGAAATATATTGAGATTATGCTTCTCAAACAAAATCAAAGGGATTTTAATGGGAAAGTTAAGCAAAGACTTTAATCTTTTCATCTCTCTCAGATTAATGAGCAGGAAAATTATCACCTCTGGATGGTTGGTGCCCACTGTTTAAAACCATTAAGCATTTATAGTATGTTCTCTCTAACATTTCATAAGGGAGTACTCTTTTTTTCATCAACTCAAGCTGTAGTGATGCCACATTGTTAAAGAATGTTTTACAATGATTCTCAAATGTTCTAAAAACTGTTGCTCCAAAGACAATAAATTCCTTGTTCCTTGTTTTTAAATCTGTATTTATTCCACATTATAGGTACCATGGTTGTAATAGATGTTCCTTGTTTAGCAGTCGCTGCATTCCTCTCTGTGGTGAACCATCCAAGGAGCATCCTCACCTTCCAAATTTGCAAGGAGCTATACATGCGACTCAATTGGGGGTGGGGGTGTTTTATTCTGAGCAATAGCATAGGTGCTACATCCTGACAGGCAGCTGTACTGTAAGGATTAAACCGGTGGAAGAACGGCCTCCCCTCCGACTCCATCCAATACAAAAGAGGCCCCGGGCCACTTGCACATAATAAAAAAAAAGTGGGGGGTGGCGATTGCCTGCACAGATGGTTTCAGCTTTATTAGGGCACGAGCGCTGAGTACATGTGGACTAGCAGTGCCCAGCAGCGTGTCTTTATCAATAGCTGAGAAGACGATATGGCGACGATTTTTCTGCCGTTTTATTTTGACAAACTAATTCTGAGGCTCTTCTTAAAACACACGGGAAATGGGCTCTGGGGAGAGTAGGGAAGCTGGCACACACACCCCCCCCTCATTTGACATAGGGGAAAAGAGTAGACAGGCGAGAACCCCTCGCCCCCCCACCACCACCACACGCCTCACCCGGCTGAGAGCTTCCATCTCTTGGGGCAGCCGGCGCAGGTGGTTATTCCGCAGGCTCAGTCCCTCCAGAGCCTTCATATTCCCCAAACTCCGGGGCAAGTGGCGGAGCCCTCGCGCCGTCAAGGCGAGCGAGCGAGTCGCGGGTCCGGCCCGCAGCGCCCGGAGCAGCAGCCGCTCCGCCATTTCCCCCTTCCGTCCCCCGGCCAGGAGCGCTGCCTAACTACGGCGCCCATAGCAACGAGGGAGGTAAACAGGCTCGCTCTTCCCGTCGTCATGGAAACAGCAACGCACGGCCTCCTGCGGGGGCCGGAAGAACGCTCGGTGGCCACGGCAACCGTTCTAAATTACGGAGGCCGAGAGGAAGGATGCAGCTCACGGTAGTAGGGAATGCTGCGATACAACTGAAGGGGGGGGGAGGCGTAGTGTCAGGTGATGAACGAAGGGCATAGAAAGGAGGAGAAATCGTTGAGTTTCGTTGCAGTTTTTGGACAGCGTTAAACGGTCCAATAAGAGGGCAGACAACTGGGGCCGTCAAGATCTTAACTGGGCTACAATTCCTATCAGTCCTATCAGCTTGGGGATTGTGGGCACCGAAATCCAACAAGAACCAGAAGGCAACAATTGCTTGCTCGCCAGTACTGTAGGTCTTAAATACGAATTCACAGAAAGATCCTGTTTCCAAATGGATAAAGTTGATATTGGGGGGGGGGGGGGGGCTCGTTTTCACTGAAAATTCACTTTATGTAAATCTCCTTCCTTTTGCAATCCATAGCTGTTAAGAATCTAACCCGAATTCGTGAGAAGGGCCAAAAATCAGTAGCTGAGTATAGAGTTTCAGTCTTTGTCTTTAGGTTGGATTGGGAAAGGCCCTGCCACATATTATAAAACAGGGTGGATAACACACAGGCTCCTACCCGTTTTGCAGCCCCTGTTAACAAAAGTGATGTCCCTGAGCTAAAATTCAGCAGTGAAAATGTTTTGAAACAGTTCTTTTGCTTGAAACAAGGCGCTGGGGAAGCCACATGAAGTATTTTAAAGGAGACTCATACATTCAGAAGTTTCCAGGAAGTATGATTTTCCTTCAAAGCTCATGGTCCCCTCCCCACTATCTTTGTGTTAAGCAAAACAGAAGGGGAGAGGTTGCAACCAAACAACTCCTAATAACTTTCAGGTTCTATTTGGGTGACATAGACCAGCAGATCATTTACACACTAGCCACAGAAAGAAGCAACATCCTATTAGACACAAAGGAGAAATAAAGCAAGCTTTTAAGAAGGTCTATTCAAAAGAGAATGATTGTAGGTTTATGACACCATATTTTATAGGCAGCAGATCCCACATTCCATTCCAAGACAGAAGAAAAGCCACTTCCTTCTGAAACTTTGGAGAGCTAGTGCTAGACAATGTTATATGGAACTGTTTCTGATTTCATGAAAGTCAGTTCCCTGGGCTTCTACGATCAGAGTCAGTCGTTTTTTAATCTCTGAATCTGATATTTTTCACCAGCAGTAAGGAGAGAACTGCTGTGATAAGGTCACAATGGTTAGGACCGTTGATCCCAAGAAGTATCATAAAGCCCCCTGAAATCACTACAACTGTCTGATAATATGGTTGTTGTGGGTTTTTCGGGCTCTTTGGCCGTGTTCTGAAGGTTGTTCTTCCTAATGTTACGCCAGTCTCTATGGTCGGCATCTTCAGAGGACTCTGTGCTCTGGTGTAGCTGGCTTGGGAGTGGAGTATTTATGGCTGTGAGATGGGCTTTTGTCTTTTTCTGTAGATGGGTGATTAGTGTGTCTTGTTGTGATAAGGAGAGATTATCTGTCACTGTGGTTGTTCGGTGTCATTAGCTTGTCTTTTGTGCGTAATGATCCCTGGTCCTTGTGGCTGGGTAGAGTTCGTTGACGTTTTGCACGCTGCATTTTTGAGAGCTGGGAGTCAAGTTTTGTTGGTTCAAATGTTCCTCTTTTTTGTTGAAGTTCTGCTGGTGCTTGTGGATTTCAATGGCTTCCCTGTGCAGTCTGACATAATGATTGCTGGTGTTGTCCAGTATTTCGGTGTTTTGAAATAGAATTTCATGTCCAGCTTGTTTTAGGGCATGTTCAGCTACTGCTGATTTTTTGGTTGTTTTAGTCTGCAGTGTCTCTCATGTTCTTTGATTCTGGTGCGGATGCTTCGTTTTGTTATTCCAATATACACCTGTCCACAACTGCAGGGTATCCAGTATACTCCTGCGGTGGTGAGGGGGTCCCTTCTGTCCTTTGCTGATATTTGTTGTATTTTTGTGGTGGGCTTGAATACTGTTTGTAGGTTGTGTTTTTTCAAAAGTTTCCCCGTGCGGTCTGTGACCCCTTTGATGTATGGCAGAAATACTTTATTTGTGGGTGGCTCTTTTTCTTCTTCAGTTCGGTGTTGTTTTCTTGGTTTGATGGCTCTTGTGATTTCATTTTTGGAGTAGCCATTTGCCTGTAGGGCCCAATTCAGCTGGTTGAGTTCAGTGCTGAGAAACTGAGCTTCACAGTTCCAATTTGCACAGTCTACCAGTGTTTTGATTATGCCTCTTTTTTGCTGATAATGTATTGCTGATAATATATTGTCTGATAATATATTGTTCTTTCAGTGAATAAACATTCTTTCATTTTCTACTTGCAACTATGTATTTAATGGACGCTGTTCATAAGAAATAAACTGCAATGGAGCTGGGGAATAAGGACCTTGTGATTGGGTTCGTTTGAAAGTTGTCGCAGTTGCTCGGTTTTGGCAGGAAATGACGACTGAGACTTATTCATAACATTTGCAACTCCAACTTTATTAACTTTCAGTGATTCAACAACTATTTCAATATGATCAAAACAAGAGAGATCTGGCAAAGGTCCATAACTTGATGAGGTTGATTCTTCCTGAAGATTAGGTTAACTCACTGGGGTACCAGTCCAAAACGTTCTCAATCTGTGCGACTCCGTACAGGGGCACTCCTCACTGTGCAAATGGTGCCACAACATGGGTGTCGAGCCCAGTCCCCTTCTTTCGGTGGTTTGAAGTATGTCTGCTCCCGCCTGATCACCTTTTTTCCATGTCCTTGTCTCTGCGAGCCCAGTCCCCCTCTTTCAGTGGTTTGAAGTACGTCTGCTCCGGCCTGATCACCTTCTTTCCACCTCCTTGTCTCCACGGGAAAACAATCACTGTCCATTCCTGAGTCCAATACGCTGTACCTCCTTCCTTCTTTATCTCTGGATCCAGCAACAACCCACCGACTTTCAGGTTAGGGAAGTACTTCAAAAGTCTCTGTGTTTTCTCATAGGTTAAATCTAATCCTTTCTTATTTTTCTCCTCTTTCTTGTTCCTTCATCCTCGAACCTATTTACAGATCTCCTTTCCCCCTGAACAATCACTGTCCATTCCTGAGTCCAATACGCTGTACCTCCTTCCTTCTTTATCTCTGGATCCAGCAACAACCCACCGACTTTCAGGTTAGGGAAGTACTTCAAAAGTCTCTGTGTTTTCTCATAGGTTAAATCTAATCCTTTCTTATTTTTCTTCTCTTTCTTTCTTGTTTCTTCATCCTCAAACCTAATGACAAATCTCCTTTCCCCCTGATCCTTTATACCTTCCTCCCACACTGACATTTTCAGCTCCTCCCCTTTTCCTTTTTTTCGTTCCTCCACTAGACAGATCTCTGTTCTTCCCTTCTCCTTCTCTGTCTTTTCCTTTTCCCCCATCAATATCTCTTTCACCTCAGTCAACTTTCCCTCTATGATTCCCTCTTCCTCTTTTCGTATCTCTGAGTGAGGACAGCTCACTTTCCTCCTCCTTTCCTTCACAGACCTCTAATTCTGCCCCTAAATTAGAAGATACAATGCAAACAAAACATTTTTGTAACACATAAATTTATTATGAATTACACTGCAAATACATCAGGGGATATTTTTAAAAACACAATTTAAATTAAATTCCATAGTGCTTACAAGAGACTTCAAACATAATTTATCTCCAACCTTGTAAAGCTTGTGAAAGATCTGAGCAGGATTAGTTTATTTGAAAACTCATCCAAAGACAAGTAGCGTAAAGTGCAAAGATGCACTGATCTCCCAATGTCTTCTGATGTCTGCTAGCTTTCATTTTCTGTACTCCTATCCAGCAGTGGTTTTACAGAATTATAATGTTCTCCTAATCCATAGGCATGTCTCATATACCTAGAAGCAAAAGCAGATTTTACAGAAACTTTAAAAATACTTCCATATTAAAAAGGACTGTATTAGACACTTAGTGAGAAAGAGTGAGATATGAATCTTAATAACAGTCAGAAACTATGTCACTGCTTATTATGGGAAATTATTTGAATATAAGGACTTAATGTTACACATAATATTTCAAGGAGAGAAAACTCAGTAGCGGTCATAAAAACTCCACTATTTCCCAGTAAACACAAAGGATCCAAAATTGCAAATCCTCTTTCTTAAACTCCCCCCACTATACTCTTTGTGTTAACTTGACCTCAACATCTATCAAAAAATAAAAAATGTATTCATGGGTGATTGTTTTAAAAAAACAGTGTGTGGGGGTCAATTACTAACCTATTCCGCTTTGTGTTTTTACAAAGAAGTAAAGATAAGGATCGAAACAAACCATGTATGAGCTCAATGGTAGTTTCTAAAAATCTGGGTATGTTTCTCAGCAAAGCAAAGGGCAACATCTTGGTCCAAGGAAGGGGTCATTCCAACCCTTTATGGTTTGACCTCAAGATTAACCAGCAAAGCAGTTTTAATTGTGTGTGCAACACCATCAGGCTACACACTCAAATGTCAAACAAAAATACTGAATCTACTTTTAGTTTCCATTTAACTTCGAAATCATTTGAACCTGTTTTTCTGTTAAAGTTGTAAATAACTGATTTTATAACATACGATACTCATGCTATCAATTCTTTTTCACACCAATTTGAATGTTTTCATACTACTTTGAATCTTTTTACAACAGGCCTTCCAATTAAAGTTAAAAAAAAAATTAAGAACGACCGTGGTCTCACCCACTTCTCAATGATACCATCATTTGATGGCTTCCCAGTCCAGCTTTTGTTTAATCTTCCATCATTTGCAGTACCTTTCCCAACTTTTCTTTAACTAGCAATAAGATTTTCAGCTAAAATATGGAGGTACTTCTGAGTATTCCTTTTCCCCCTTTGGTTTCATTAACAACTGGAATGTGCTTTCCCAGAATGACGTTGTAACTGAATTCAACTCTTCAGGTAAAAGAAGTTTCCCCACCTCACTCTAAAACAAGTTGCTGGAGAACATAAGTAGGAAGGTGCTGCTGCACTTGTATCCTGTTTATGAGCTTTCCACAAATGTACGCTTCACTATTGTTTGTACAAAAATGCTGGACTAGATAGTCCTTTTTTCCAATCCAGAAGAGCTCTTATACTCTTGCATGTAATCTATGTAAAATTAAATCTAAATATTTTAAAAAATGTAAAACCAAATATTTAAAAATATTTTAAATAATCAACATTTAGCATCTTTCCATTACTGTGCCAAAATGATGCCCTTACACATCTAATTCAAGAAATATCTGTTAATATCAGTCACTTACAAAACGTTCTTCAAACATAAACACTCCCTTTTGCCCTTATAAGTGTCTACTTACACAAGTGTTAGTGGCTTCCCATTGTATTCTTCACCAACAATAATAGAAGGTGAATCCATCTGAACAATTTCAATAGGCATTTGTAAGATGTGTGACAGAGCTCTTAGCTGTAAAACAAAATTGCATGTTTTTGAAAGTTTTAAAATTTTCTTTATTTCACCTCACTTTACTTCATATGTGGATTATAGCAAAAGAACAAAAATACTTTTTTTTTAAAAAAGGAAAAGACTGAAGCCTAGATTCAGAGACAAAAAGTGGAACAGCACCTTCACCTGAGCAAGCCAGCGGTAACAAATTCTCCAATTTTCAAAAATAGGCAACAGTGCACGACAGAGCCAAAAATGCCCTATTGCACATATTCAACTGGTTTTGGATATGCAGACGTTACACGACCTAGTGAAATAATGGCACACAGCGAGCCATGGGAAATAATCAAATCCTATTGATCCAACATAGACCTCTGAGGAGCAGAGGTTGGGAGTTTGATTCTCCACTGTGCCTCCTTGACAAGGGCTAGACTCAATGATCCTGCTAAGAAGGGGTACCTCGTAAAGGGAGGTGATTTAAGGGCACATAGTTGGAGGAGAAATCCATTATACTTACAGTTGGATACCACTCTCATTAAATACCAAGCATTACTAAGACATCAGAAAAGTATGATGTGGTATACTTACTTCTAACTGCCCACCCCAGGCAGCTGTGTTTGCTATGTCATAACAGTATTTTTCAAATTCATCTGAAAAAGAAAATGATGTTAATTTAACTTATTGAATTCTAATGTTGGAAAATAAACAAGTCTGGTTCAGAAAGAAAGTCTGCAATGGAAACTAAAGTCAGAAAAACAACATCCATTTTCAGAATAAAACATGAGACAAAGGAGAAGACAGTTGTGTGGGTCACAGGAAACAGATACAGAAGCAAAGGACAACAAGATTAGATAATATAACATAAAGACAAGAAAAAGAACTGATAGATTTGACAACAATCTGTTCATTATATAAAAAGCATGCTTTTCCTAGGCTGTTCAGTGATTCTGTATTTTAATGTTTTCCTAAACAGATATAATGGAAGAAAACCACTAAAGAAATCAATTGTTCAGATAACCTTAAATGTTGTGTTCTCAGTTGCAACCTGGTATTTGTTTGTTTGTTTTTACCCCACCCTTTCTCCTTAAAAGGACCCAAGACGTGTTACATCATTAGGACAATATTTAAAAGCTAAAAACAGTAAGTATACAAATATTTAAACAGAGCTAAGTATCATATTAAAAATGGTAAATAAAAATACTAAAAACACATTTAAAAACAACAGAGCACAACAATCCAATTTGAAAAATCCCTCTCGGACTGCCAGTCATTAAGGAAAAGCCTGTCTGTAGAGAAAGGTCTTGGCCTCCTTGTGGAAGGAAAACAAATATGGGGCCAGCCTGGCTTCCAGTGGGAGGCAATTACAGCATCTGGGAGCAAGAATAGAGAAGGCCTTCTCCCGTGTCCCCACCAAGCACGATTGTGAAGGCGGTGGAACCAAGATAAATGCCTCTCCTGATAATCTTAATGCCTGGGCAGGCTCATAGTGGGAGATGCAGTCTTTTAGACAGCTTGATCCCAAGCCGTTTAGGGCTTTATAGTTATGATTGGTAAATAAGCTATTCTTCACAATAAGCAGCTGCATAACTGTACCCACTTACATAGGAAATAATATCCAGTAAACACAATGAGGCTTCATTTTGAATAACACGCACAGCAGTGTTCTCCAAATTTTCAACAATTAGATGAGATGTACAAGACCCATCCGCATGATATAACTGAAATGGTCTCAACAGCAATTATCTCTGTAACAACAGATGACAACCTTTTTAAGAAGTATATCAGTAATGATGGAAGTTATTTATCTACCTCGACTGTACAAATCTCCTGTATTCGGGTTGGTCAGAAACGGGAGGAAATCATCCATATGACTTCCCATGTATTCTGCAGTCCGACTCCTAAGAGTTGATACAGTCCAGGAATTTTGTTGCTCTTTGAGCTGATCCTCAAGAGCTCTGTACATGCAGTGACCGTCAGATGGAATCTGCTTAATTTCCAATTCCCTTGCAGCCAAAAGCTGTGCAAGTTTCTGGCTTTCAAGATGTCTAGCTCCTGTTAAATTTTCAATCTCAGCTTCTGCAATTCTTTCCTCTCTTTCCTTTTCCAAGGCTGCTTTTTTATCCTGTTTGAAAAGAGTACAATGTTATTCACGTTATTTATTTATTTACATTTTATTTATTGTATTTATACCCCGCCTATCTAGTCATTTTGACCACTCTAGGCGGTTATGAGCTTATAACACCCAGAGTGAGTGACCTATTGGTTTTACATGAACATAAACCAATATATCAGGAGAAATAAATCACCAGGGATACATAGAATACCAATAAAAGTATTTCAAGCCACAGAATCTGTAAAAATTATATTGTCAAGATCCTAACAATATGATAACAAATATGGAAATCAAAACAATGGCCCACAAACTGGAAACGCTGAATATATATTCTAACTGCAAAGAAAAGAGATGCCAAGGGGTGTAGCAACTATAGAATGACTGCTTTAATTTCCCCTGCAAACAAAGTGATTCTCAAAATGTTGCAACAAAGCTTTAAATTTCCCCTGCAAACAAAGTGATTCTCAAAATGTTGCAACAAAGGTTTATACCTTATATGGAGTGAGAAATGCCTAATGTTCAAGCTGGATTGCAAAAGGAAGAGGCACTTGGTGTTATATTGCAAATATCCACTGGCTACTGAAGCACACGAAAGAATTTCAGGAAAACATCAGTTCATGTTTTATAGACTACAGCAAAACTTGTTGACAATATGGATCCTGAGAAACTATGGGTTGTTCTGAAAGAAACTGGTGTGCCTCAGCACTTGATTGTTCTGATACATAATCTGTATTGTGGACAAGAAGCTACCATTAGGGCAGAATATGAAAAGACAGATTTTCTATAGGCAAAAGTGGCAGACAAGTGTGCATTTTATCGCCTTATCTGTTCAAACTGTATGCAGAAAAAATATGGAAAGCAGACTGGATTCAGATGAAGGAATGACAATAGTTTGGGAGGCAAGTAAGACATTTTTAGAGGAGCAGCCATGAGATTTGCATCAAAACAAAAAAGAGAAAGACAGAAAAAAATTATAAGATTTTGGAAAATAGATTAGCCTCTGATGAACTACATCTGAAACAAAATCCATAAAATACAGAACTGAAAGAGAACATAAAGTTAGTTGCAGCCAAAAAATAAGGAGAAGATTGAGATTTGGAAAGGAAGCAATGAAGGAATTAGAAAAGATCATCCTGTGTAAAGATGTGTCACTGAAGACCAAGACCCATCCACCCTCTTATATTTCCGACCACCATATACAGATGTGAAAAAAGCTGGACAGTGAAGAAAGCAGACAAGAAAAAAATTGATTTGTTTGAAATATGGTGCTGGAGGAGAGCTTCACAGATACTCTGGGTCCTAGAGCAAATCAAGCCTGAAGTATCTTTGGAAGCAAAAATGATGAAAATAAAGCTATCCTATGCTAGGCATATAATGAGAAAGTAAGATTTTCTGGCCATCTGATGAGAACAGAAGACTCCATCGGAAAGACCCTGATGTTGGGAAAGTGTGAGGGCAAGAGGAGAAGGGGACAACAGAGGACAAGATGGTTGGACAGTGTCACCGAAGCTACCAACGTGAATTTGACCAAACTCTGGGGGAAAACAGAAGCCTCAACTGGAAAGTCCTGGATGTTGGGAAAGTGTGAGGGCAAGAGGAGAAGGGGACAACAGAGGACAAGGTGGTTGGACAGTGTCACCGAAGCTACCAACGTGAATTTG